ATGCGTCATCATCATCGGGTAGCAAGGGCGGTGGCCACTATGTCAAGAAGGAGAGATCCGTGGCACGCGGCGGTGGCAAAGCGTGCGACTCTGGTGTGAAGCTCAGATCGATGGGCACTCCGTGATAGAAAGGCAAGTGGCGCAAGTGTGGCATTTACAAGCACTTTGCGAAGGAGTGCAAGATGAAGGGGCCGAAGGAGGAGCGGCAGGAAGACACTCACCATGTCAACGCCAATGCCGAGCCGACGCTCAGGGTGGCACAGGTATGCAATTTGGTGCGGACTCGACTGCGTGCTGCGCATCGTGTGTTCCTGAACCAGGAACGTGTGTTCCCGGTGGAATATAGCGATGGGGCGTGGGTGCTGGACACTGGTGCCACAAAGCACATGACGGGGTGCTGGGAGTCGTTGGCAAGCCTTGACGAGTCGGTGCGTGGCGTCCTGCGCTTCGGAGATGGGTCCATGGTGAAAATTCATGGGATCGGTGCTGTGACGATCGTTCGAAAAGAACCAGGATCACCATGTACTCACCGAGGTATACTACATCCCATCCCTCAAATGCAATATTGTCAATCTTGGTCTATTGGAGGAAGGGGGTGTCGCATCAAGATCGATGACGGCGTCCTGAAGGTGTTTGAGCGCCGCCAGGCTATGAATCAACAACAGGGTGTCCTGATCAGGGCAGAGAGAAGGAATCGCCTATACATCATGAAGGTGAACTTGACTTTGCCCATTTTCTTGATGACCAAGATGGATGAGGAGGCATGGTTTGGCATGCAAGGTATGGACACCTTAATTTTAGGTCCCTACGCGAGCTGGGTGCCAAGGAGATGGTGGAGGGCATTCCACTGATTCGGCATGCAGAACAAGTCTATGATGGCTGTGTTCTAGGGAAGCAGCATCACACACCGTTCCCTCAGGCCTTGGCATATCGTGCAAGTGCCGAGCTTGAGCTGGTTCATGGCGACTTGTGTGGGCAGATCACGCTACCCACGGCGGGCGGGAAGTCATATTTTCTGCTGATCGTCGATGACCATAGCCGCTATATGTGGCTAGAACTACTGGCGTCCAAAGATAGGCGCTGGGGTACTTCAAGAAGATCATGATGGCGCCCGAGGTGGAGTCGGGTCATCGTCTCAAGGCGTTCAGGACAGATCATGGTGTGGAGTTCAACTTAGGTGCGTTTGTGACTTTCTACAGTGAGCGGGGCATTAAGCACAATACCACTACACCATACTGTCCTTAGCAGAATGGAGTTGTAGAACAACATAATCAAATAGTTGTGGAGATGGCACGCTGCTTGCTTAAGTCGATGCAGGTGCCTAGCAAATTCTGGGGAGAAGCAGTGAAGGTGGCGGTGTATTTACTAAATCGATCGCCGACAAAGAGCCTGAATGGCAAGACTCCGTTTGAAGCCTGGCTTGGAAGAAACCAAGGGTACGACATCTATGTACTTTTGGCTGTGTGGCTTATGCTAAATGGGTAGGACCTAGAGTGACAAAGCTTGCTGACAGATCAACTCCAGGAGTATTCCTTGGCGGGACCAAGTGCTATCGTGTGTATGATCCGGTGAATGATAAGTTAATGGTGACCAGAGATGTGATCTTTGATGAAAAGATGGCATGGAATTGGGTGGAGGATGGCAGTAGGATCAGCGGTTAGGCGGCAGCACCCTACACTTTCACAATTCAATACCTAGACACTATTCACGGTCCGGCTACAGGATCTGATTCAAAGTTGGGCGTTGATCCAATTTTTGCTAGTGTTTCGGCTTCACCTGCTGTATCAATTCCATCTGTTGGTAATGTGGGCGATACAAACACACCACCACACACTCCAATCTCTGGTGCCTCGGGATCGACACCCCTAGCAGTCCCAATTCAGTGGGCAACCCTACCAACTGATGATTCTGTAGATTCTGATGGAGATCCTAGGAGGTACAGGACCATTCCAAACTTGCTTGACACCACTGAAGAAATTCATGATATGGAGTATAGTGGGTTTTGCTTGGTTGCTGTAGAAGAACCGAGGTCAGTTGAGGAGGCAATGACAGAAAACTGTTGGAGACAGGCTATGCAAATTGAGATGCAGGCCATTGAAGAGAACAGAACTTGGGATGTGAGTGATCTGCCAGCTAAGCATAAGGCCATAGGCCTAAAATGGGTTTTCAAGGTGAAGAAGAACCCTAAAGGGAAGATTGTAAAGCACAAGGCAAGATTAATGGCAAAGGGCTATGCTTAGCAACAGGGTGTTGATTTTGATGAGGTGTTTGCACCTGTTGCCAGAATTGAAATAGTGAGAGTTTTGCTAGCTTTAGTAGCATAGGGTGGATGGGAGGTACACCATATAGATGTGAAGTCATCATTCCTGAATGGTGACCTAACTGAACTGTTTATGTGCAACAACCTCCTGGTTTCATTGTTGGCAATGGTGAGAAGGTGCTGAAATTGAGGAAAACACTCTATGGGCTGAGACAGGCACCTAGGGCCTGGAATGCCAAAGTTGACAAGGAATTGATTGCTCTTGGTTTTGTGAAGAGCACGTTGGAACATGCTATGTATAGGAGAAGCAACAAGAAGTCCTTTCTGCTTGTGGTGGTGTATGTTGATGATCTAGTAATCTCTGGGCCAGATGTTAGTGACATCAACCAGTTTAAACAAGAGATGAAGAAAAATTTCAGCATGAGTGATTTGGGCCTTCTGAGCTATTACTTGGGGAACTGAGGTGAAGCAAGGAGGTGGTGGAATCACATTGAGTCAGAGCTCTTATGCATTGAAAATACTTGAGTTTGCAGGTATGTTGAACTGCAACCCATGTGCAACTCCTATGGAGGCTCGGCTCAAACTCAGCAAGAAGATGGAAGATGAAGTTGTGAATCCTACAACATATAGAAGCATAATTGGAAGCCTCAGGTACATTGTCAACAATAGATTAGACATTGCATATTCGGTTGGTGTTGTCAATAGATACATGGAGGCTCCAAGCAAGGAAGACTGGGCTGCTGTGAAGCATATCCTTAGATATCTAAAAGGAACTGTTGGGTATGACTGTAGATATGAAAGAGACACTGAACTGAATCCCTTCCTGCTTGGGTACAGTGACTGTGACTTCGCTGGTGATGTTGAAGATAGGAAGAGTACCACTAGGGTTGTCTACTTCCTTGGCAAGAATTTGGTCACCTGGGTGTCACAGAAGCAAAAAATTGTGGCTTTGTCATCCTGTGAAGCTGAATATGTGGCAGCAGCAGTAGCAGCTTGTCAAGGTGTGTGGCTAAGTCGGCTAATTGGTGATTTCATGGGGATAAAGGAGGCACCGGTGAAGCTGCTCATGGACAATATGTCCGCTATCACCCTGAGTAAGAATCTAGTGCATCATGATAGAAGCAAACACATTGACACGAATAACCACTTCATTCATGAGTGCATTGAGGACGGCAAGGTGGAGGTTGATCATATCGGGATTGTGAATCAACTCGCCGATATCTTCACCAAGGCGTTGGGGCGTGTTAGGTTCTTGGAACTGAGGGAGGCTTTGGGCATCATCAAGCTGCAACAAGTTTAGGGGGTGATTTGTTAGCTAAATTGTTGCATCGTTATAATGTAAACACTTTGTTCATTCATCTACATTAGCTAGGCTAGCATGTAGCGCATGGCTGGTGGCGTGCTTGGTCCATGATGTAGCCTAGTCAGGTCGGTCTATCAGCGCCATGGTGTATGTTGCAGCATGTGGTGCGCGTCACGGTGAAACAGCGCAGCATCCTGCATACGGCGTGGCATGGGGGACTCGGAGGTTTGTTTCGAGATCCTAGGGTTGCATTATAACAAATAGGCAACAAAGAGAACTAAAAAGCTGACGCTCACAGGGCAGCCTGACGGGATAGAACCCGTGGGTGGGAATGAAGCCTTGTCCATGCAAGCCCTCACCTAGGGGCGAACTGCAGCTGCTCCACTCTCCCTGCAGCAACTAGCTGTCATAAGAACATCGATCCCAGTCATGCTGATATTCCAGTAATGGTCGTTTTCCAGCAGCTCAACAGTTTCCTGCAGGGGAGTGCACCGCCTCAGGTCTTGGACTCGCCTTCCATTGAGGAGGTGGAGGAGGCCCTTCAGATGATGGAGCTAACTGCCATGGGGCCTTTGCCGGCACATGCTGCTGAGGCTCCAAGGCCAGCCTTGCCGGTTCCAGTCGGTGATGTGCTAGGAGTGATCAGTGCAGCGGGGTCGCTGATCGTATCCCCCTCGACGGAAGCGGAGCTCGACAAGTTATTCATAATGCCGCTGGCGTCTGTGCTTCAGCACCAGCCACCTGCTCGGCAGCCAAGATGTCGTCGTGTTTATGACCTGTCCAACGTGCGTCGTAGCGTTCGTCTTGCCAAGCAGCCGCCCATGCCGGTAATGAAGAAGGCACAGGTCAACCTGTGCTCAGGCTGGGTCTAGCAACTGATGAGCATGCTCCAATCGATCAGATCCTAGAGTATGTGGCCATGTTCTGTTAGCTAAATTGATGCACAAATAAATGTAATCTTGTATCAGTTGGAGTCTGTTATAGTCGAGTAGGGGATGGGCATGATCATAGGCGTGCATGATCATGGTCCAGCCCGTTGTCGGTCAGTCACCACGCCATGGCGTGCCGGGCGCACGTAGCGCGCACCGCCTCTAACGGTGTTGCGTTCTTTGCACGACATGGTGCGGGAGGGCTTCGCGGTTGTTAAGATCGCGAGACTTGTGTATAAATAACAAGGAACAAAGACCGGGAAAAGCAGCGATGTTGGCAGCGCCATATCCTCTTGTCTGTTATATCTGCTAGGTTAGACTCACCGCGATCACCATCGTTTCGCCGGCGCGATCCGAGCTCTGGAGTGCGTTGTGCTCCAACAATTGGTATCGGAGCCAAAGGGGAGCCGAGGAGGAGCCGTTTGGTGGCGGGGAGGAGCCCTGCGAGGTGCTGGGTGGTTGAAGCCAACCGAACCAAGAAGAAGGAGACATGAACGTCATCGTTGCCATGGCGCTGAACTCGCCGAAGTCAAGTGGAGCCGATAAGGAGGTGATGCAGCGTGCGTGGAATCAGGCCGCAGGCAATCTGGTACGGCCGATGTTAACACGCACTAATTACCAATCGTGGTCAGCCCACGTTCAATGCAATCTCGAAGGAATCTATCTCTGGGATGCAATAGAGTCTGATAAGGTGGAGCGGAGGCATGATCAGCTCGCCGTGGGTGCCATGCTGAGGGGCGTTCCGGAGGACATGCACGCCATGTTGCTGAACAAAAAGTTAGCAAAGGAGGCGTGGGAGTCGCTGAAGACGATGCATCTCGGAGCAGATCGGGTCAAGGAGGTGACTGCGTAGAAGTTGTTGAGCGATTTCGAAGCGATATCCTTCAAGACCGGCGAGACGATTGAAGAATTCGCCATGAGGATTAACAAACTCGCGTCGGATCTGTGTGGTCTTGGCAAGACAAGCGTTGATGATGCGCGAGTGGTGAAGAAGTTCTTGAGGGTCGTGCTGCCACGCTACAATCAGGTGGCGATGGCGATCGAGATGTTTTGCGATGTGAAGACCCTGTCTATCGAGGAACTTGTTGGCCATCTCAGGGCGGCAGAGGCTCGGTTCGAGCCCATGGTCGAACAAGTGACGGACACGACGGGCCGTCTTCTGCTCATGGAGGAAGAATGGATGGCCAGGAACAAGAGTCGCATGGTGAATGCAGAGTCATCCTCTGGTGGTGGAAAAGGCGGCGGAAAATACATCAAGAAAGATCAATCTAGAGGTCGTGGTGTCTCGTCTGGTGGCAGCAAGCATGGCCATGACACGCGCGAGTCCGGAGGTGGTCTCACATCGAAGGGCACACCTCGTCGGAAGGGCAGGTGCCAGAAGTGTGGTGTCTATGGGCACTGGGGCAAGGAATGCCTGAACAAGAAGGCTGGGAAGGAGGAGCATGAAGATGCCATGCACCATGTCGCTGCTGACACAGAGGCGAAACCAGCGCTCTTGGTGGCACAGGTGTGCAACATTGTGCGCACACCGAAATCATCTGCCCAAGGCTTGTTCCTGAATCAGGAACGTGTGCTCCCGGAGAAGTATGATGATGGAGCATGGATACTTGACACAGGGGCGACAAATCACATGACAGGCTGTCGGTCCTCACTGACAAGCCTGGACGAGTCCGTGCGTGGCGCTGTGAGGTTTGGCGATGGCTCGACCGTGGAGATCTGTGGGGTTGGCGCAGTCACAATGGCCGGCAGAAATCAGGAGCATCACGTCCTCACCGAGGTTTATTTCATCCCCTCTCTGAAATGTAATATTGTCAGTCTTGGTCAACTTGAAGAAGCAGGATGCCGTGTTGAGATCGACAAGGGTGTTCTGGTGGTGCTCAAGCGGAAGCAACCGGGTGTGGCAAGAGTGTTGTGATTAGAGCAGAAAGAAAGAGTCGCTTGTACCTGATGAAGGTGAATCTGTCATCACCTGTTTGCCTACTGACCAAGATGGAGGAGGAGGCCTGGCGCTGGCATGCATGGTATGGTCATTTGAATTTCAGGGCCCTACGTGAACTCGGTGTCAAGGAGATGGTAGAGGGACTGCCATTGATCAAGAAGGTGGAACAAGTGTGCAATGGCTGCGCCCTTGGGAAGTAGCACCGTGCGCCATTTCCTCAAGCTTCGCCGTGGCGTGCGTCTGTTGGACTCGAGCTGGTGCACACGGATCTCTGTGGCCCGATCACGCCAATCACACCTGGAGGCAAGTCCTATTTCATGATCGTGGTTGATGATCACAGCCGCTATATGTGGCTGGAATTGCTGGCGGGAAAAGATGAAGCGCTGGCATGTTTCAAAAGGTTCAGGGCAGCGGCTGAATTGGAGTCAGGCCGTCACCTGAAGGCGCTCAGAACGGACCGCGGTGGCGAGTTCAACTCCGGGGCGTTTGTGGTGTTCTGCAGTGAGCATGGCATCAAGCACAACACAACTACGCCCTATACTCCGCAACATAATGGTGTTGTGGAACGGAGGAATCAGACGATAGTGGAGATGGCAAGGTGTTTACTGAAGAGTATGGGAGTACCACCCCGGTTCTGGGGGGAGGCTGTGAAAACAGCAGTATATATTCTCAATCGCTCTCTGACTAAGAGTTTGAGCGGTATGACTCCTTATGAGGCTTGGTTTGGCAGAAAACCCGGGATCAAGCATTTGAGGACGTTTGGCTGTGTTGCTTATGCAAAGAAGGCTGGCCTAGGAATAAGCAAGTTAACTGACAGATCAACACCAGGTGTGTTCTTTGGCTATGAGCCGGGGACAAAAGGTTATCGTATTTATGATCCAGTGAAGAACAAGCTCATGGTGACTCGTGATGTGATCTTTGATGAGAAAAAGCCATGGAATTGGGAAGGGAAAGAAGACAGCAAGGCGAAAGAGGCAGCGGAGAAAACTGATACATTTCAGGTTTAGTGGGATGACACTGATACTGTTCCTGGTCTGGCAACGGGATCTGAGGAAGCTGCTGTGCCCGATTTCGAGCCGGTTTCGCCTGCTGCGTCAATTCCATCAGCAGGGGGTGCATCAAACACACCACTTGGGACTCCCAACTCCAATTCGGGTACACCATTGATACAGTGGGCCACACCACCCACTGGTCAGTCCGTGGATTCAGAAGGTGATCCACTCCGGTACAGAATGATCACTGATCTGCTGGATGATACTGAAGAAATTCAGGATTTTGAATACAGTGGACTCTGCCTTGTTGCTGCTAAGGAACCAAGATCAGTACAAGAGGCAATGTCGGAGGAGTGCTGGAGGCAAGCCATGCGGGCAGAAATGCAAGCGATTGAGGCTAACCGAACTTGGGATGTTAGTGTGTTGCCACCCAAACACAAAGCGATTGGCCTAAAATGGGTTTTCAAGGTCAAGAAAGATCCTGAGGGGAATGTGGTCAAGTATAAAGCACGCCTAGTTGCTAAAGGCTATGCTCAGCGTTTTGGAGTGGATTTTGATGAGGTTTTCGCTCCGGTGGCCAGAATTGAAACTGTACGGGTGTTGTTGGCACTTGCAGCTCAAGGTGGATGGGAGGTTCATCATATGGACATAAAATCAGCTTTTTTGAATGGTGATCTCTCTAAAACCGTGTACGTGCAACAACCTCCAGGTTTTGTAGTCGGCAATGGAGATAAGGTGCTCAAGTTGAAAAAGGCACTCTACGGTTTGAAGCAGGCACCATGGGCGTGGAATGTAAAACTTGACCGTGAACTCGTGGCTCTTGGGTTTGTCAGGAGCAAGTTGGATCACGCTATTTATAGAAGAAACAACAAGAACTCTTTTCTGCTTGTGGGGGTTTATGTCGATGATTTGATCATCTCTGGACCAGATGTGAAAGACATCAAGAATTTCAAGTCTGAGATGAAGAAGAAGTTTAGCATGAGTGACTTGGGGCTCTTAAGCTATTACCTGGGCATAGAGGTTAAGCAGGATGCAAATGGCATCACTCTATGTCAGAGTTCCTATGCAGCAAAGATACTAGAAGTGGCTAGAATGGGGAACTACAACTCATGTGATACTCCAATGGAATGTTGACTGAAACTGAGCAAGCTGAAGAATGGAGAGGCAATGGATCCTACGGGATACAGGAGTATAATCGGTAGCCTGAGGTATATTGTTAACACTCGACCTGATTTGGCATTTTCAGTCGGTGTTGTGAGCAGATACATGGAGGCGCCGGGCAAAGAACATTGGGCCACTGTAAAACACATTATGAGGTATCTCAAGGGTACCATGGGGTATGGCTGCAAGTATGAGAGGGGAGCTGAGCTAAAACCAATTCTAATTGGGTACAGCGACAGTGACTTTGCTGGAGATATCGAGGATAGGAAGAGCACTATGGGTGTTGGCTATTTCCTCAGGAGCAGTCTTGTTACCTGGGCGTCACAGAAGCAAAGGATCGTTGCCTTGTCTTCCTGTGAAGCGGAGTATGTGGCAGCGGCGGCAGCGGCTTGTCAAGGCATATGGCTTAGCCGGCTGATTGCAGATATGCTGGGAACGAGGGAGACGACGGTGAAGCTGCACATGGATAATATGTCTACGATAGCACTCAGCAGGAATCCGGTGCATCATGACCAAAGCAAGCACATTGATACTAAGTATCATTTTCTTCGTCAGTGCATCGAGGAAGGCAAGGTGGAGGTTGAACACGTCGGGACAGGAGATCAGGTCGCCGACATCTTCACCAAGTCACTGGGACGAGTGAAGGTCGTGGAGTTCAGGAGTGCATTAGGTGTCGTCAGTGTGCATCAAGTTTAGGGGGTGATTTGTTAGCTAAATTGATGCACAAATAAATGTAATCTCGTATCAGTTGGAGTCTGTAATAGTCAAGTAGGGGATGGGCGTGATCGTAGGCGTGCATGATCACGATCTAGCCTGTTGTCGGTCAGTCACCACGCCATGGCGTGCTGGGCGCACGTAGCGCGCACCACCTCTAACGGTGTTGCGTTCTTTGCACGACATGGCGCGGGAGGGCGTCACGGTTGTTAAGATCGCGAGACTTGTGTATAAATAACAAGGAACAAAGACCAGGAAAAGCAGCGATGTTGGCAGCGCCATATCCTCTTGTCTGTTATATCTGCTAGGTTAGACTCGCCGCGATCACCATCATTTCGCCGGTGCGATCCGAGCTCTGGAGTGCGTTGTGCTCCAACACGTTCAACGGGCCTCTTCCTGAGCACATCGTCGTGTGGCTCTCACAGCGCTCTTCAGCATCGACAACGAGTTCGTGCAGCAGCTTGATGAAGCGATGCTGGAACTTGTCGGCAATGGCGTCGACGACCTGCGAGCTCCAGAGGTGTTGGACATGGCGGCCTGACACCTAGACTGAGGCTCTTCCAGCCACATGTGTTTTTAGTTCACCAATGATTTATTTTCCTGCAATGCATAAGTCGTCGATCGTGCTGTTGGTATTTTTAAACGCACGTAGATAAATCCATAAGTGCACGGATACCGTTGTTGCTTTCACTCGGGAGTATTCCAGAGTATCGTATTTATCCATAGGGAAACAATGGTTAAAGAAGTTGATAGTTCACTATCATGTATCTACTAACTAGTATACTAACTAAACTAAAGTGGGGGTAAGTGTTGTTTATGATAAGAGTTATGAATAATAACACACATAAAAAATTCCATGGTATATATATGAGCAGTCTAGCTAAATTAAGAGGACAACGGTTAAGTTTAAGGTTTCTAAATACTTCTCTATTACTTCGGTTCTATTCTAGTTTAGACTAGAGGGTATAACTAAAGCATGGGTAGATATAGCGATCATACACAATAGCACTTTGGGACATCAAAACATTAGCCACAGAAAGAGATGAGAAAGGGACTAGGAAGCTCCAACTATGGTCTTACAAACACCAACCCAAACATGGTGGACTACATCGGCCATCAGGGCTGTCACCACCTGAGGCTACCACAACTATCCGTGGGGTTGGATGCAATCTCAGGTAACTCGATAGTTTAGATACCACGTCTACACTACTAATTACTACTCTAATCACATTTAATAACTAGAGCACTCAATGCGAGCAGAGATCCCATGCTAAGATATGATAACTATACTAACCATACACATAAAAACATAAAAGTGAATAGAGAAGATAACTATATTAAAGTATAAGTCTTGCAAAAGTAAGATACAAAGATATACCCGACCTCCGAAGATTTCTCCAGAACCCGAGCATGGCTCAACTCTCCCTAACTCTCGACTAGAGCTATTCTACTTATACATCTTGAGAGCTGGCTCTGATCCTGATGAGGAGGATATGAATTAGAGTTTTTAGATCTGGTGAGGGAGGGGGCTAGGGATTGCTATATATAGGATAGAGGTAGAGTAGCGGCCAAGGTATTGAGGTGGAGTAATGGACAAGGACTCTAGGAGGAGTAGGGGCAAGGAATTGCCACATCATCGATCCTCGTCAACTCTCCCGGCCACCGTTGGATGAATGGACCTAAAACTGCCTTAGAATCAACGGTGTAGATCGTAGAAAGGGGTACGCGGCGGCGAAGGGCGATGGGCCACCCCCATGGGCCGGGCCACCTCCCTAGTGGGCCAGGCGGCCCACTATGGTGCTGGGTGGGCTCCTCCTTCTGGTGGCGAGGCTTGGGCTCCATCTTGAGTTGACTTTCATAGGTGTCGCGGGTAGAATCACTTGTTCATGTCGGTTTGCTTGTTTGGATTGTATGACAGTGGTTCTGGGAGCTATTTTCTGGATAAATCCTCCTGCAGTCATGAAATCACCAAAGCTCGTGGAATTCATTAGTTTAAACCCCTAAACCTTTATTGGTGATGGAATTAAATATAAATGCAGGTTATGTTGATGGTTTATAATTGATGTTAGTGACCGTCAACAGTCGTTCAAAACTGTGTCTTCGTCAGTGTTATCACCTGCGTGCTGGTTACTTGAGGACCTAGATGCAGAACTTCTACCAGCTCCAATATGGTGTATGTCCTCCTCAGAGCTGCTCCATGTGCGTGGTGTGCCTCTGAATTGTGTATCCAGAACTGATTTAGCTCCAGCAATGTTGCCCAATTCATGTGGTTGTGCTTCACCAGAATGTCATGTTTCTAGATTTGTATCAGCTCGACAATCATTGTCTAAACCAACTGTTTGTGCTCTGCTGAATTGCCTAACAATGTCTATTTTTGGGTGTAGTAAGCTGTTGTTTTGGTGGAGATGCATCCTTCCTGTATGCATTTCCCGTCAGAGTGTGTTGCTCTAACCAGAATGACAACATCATCTTTTGAAGCAATTTGCTGGAATGTAAGAGGCTTGAACTCAGCAGCTAGATGCGTAATTGTGCATAGCTACTCTCAGCTACTACTTGCAACTTTGTGTGCTTGCAAGAGACTAAGCTAGCAAATATTGATGGGTCCCTAGCTGCTTTCCTCGGAGGGTACAAGCTTAACAACTTTGCATTCAAGCCGGCTAATGGAACGAGAGGGGGAATACTGCTGATTTGGGATGACAATTGTCACGCCCCGTGAGACCAAAGCCGACGGGGTTGTCTCTCACATCACTACGAGGCCCCGAGGAGCGCACTCAACAACTCCTCTTTAGGATCTTGAGTTACACACACATACCCGATACAAGACATACTGTTACACAAAAATGTGGCGATGTGATCAACACACAGCAAGCCGAAAGATCTAAGTGGAACGAGACCAGAGATCTGCTTGGCTTCAACATAGAACCAGTCGATTCTGAAAACCCAACGACGTGCAGTCAATTTGACCTGCAATTGATAAGGAGAGAAAATCTTATCAGTAATTTAAGGTAGAATATGTCGGTATTGCACCAAATAGTTCCAAATGTATGGCTAGATAGCCGATTAAATGAGGCTATCGACTAAATAGTTGATATCCAGCGTATCCATGAAACAAAAATCTTTAAATCTAGGATTATCGGCTAATATTAAATGATAATGATACGAATCAAAATAACCGATGCTCATGAAACATCAGAAAGCATCATCGGCTAAATGGAACATGATTGATATAAAGCGTCGAGCCGATAAGTTTGATGAAAAGAATATAATATGCGAACAAATCAACTGTCTAATATAAATGATTCTACAAACAGTTTTGAGTCTAATCTATTATCATCAACAGTGAGGTTTGATCGAATCGATGCAGCTATGATAATGATAATAAACTAAAACCAAAGAATCTATAAAACCATCT